TCTCTCTCTCTCTCTCTCTCACACACACACACACACACACACACACATAAGCACACATCACTGGTAGGCATCAGTGTAGCTACACTAATTAACTAGACACTTTTTTTTCAAGCCATGAGGGTTTTGCTGATATTTTCCAGGTAACAAAGTTAAAGAGGGATCTAATACAATTAAAACATTTGCCAGTATCAAATAATACTTTTAAGAGAAAAATATTTTTGATCCATATTATCTCATATTACATCTTTATTTGAGGCACACATGCTGGAATTATGCAACAATCTCCCATGCTAAAGAAATAGAATGATGTAGGTTTTTATAAAGCTGACAGAATGAATTTAAAATTTCTTGTAAAAATTCCTACCATTCCTTTTCAAGACTGTTCTTGACTTACACTCACATTTCAATACTGGCAGACCTCAAGAAGGCATTTCTATAACACGTACATGTTTGCTCCAGACTGATACAATTATTATTGTAGATGATTCTCCATTGATGGTTTCAAAAGTTTACTTCTCCTAGTTTTACTTTCTCTGAAGTGAGGGAGGAACAATTTCAGCCTTTCAAATGTTTTATGAAATACTCTTTCTTCCTAGTAGCATGGTTTTCCCCACAGGCAAATAATTAGTTACTGAGCTATACAATGACTTCGTGGATGAGAGGCTGGCCCCACCCTTCAGCCCCCCCCCCCCCATCCTCCAAATCCTGCTCTCCACCTGCTGTGTGTTTTATCCTCCTAGGCATCAGTCTTTGCTGCCAGCACCCACTTTGTCTTCTTTCTGGGCTGGTGGGGGCGAAATGGAACAATGTTTGGGTCAAAATGCTTTGTACAATGTGGAATCCTGGGGAAAGGGCACTTAGCCGCCTTCCCTCCCTCCGGGTGCCCTGCTGAGTGTTGTGGTTGTGAATTGACGTCCATTTTCCAGGACCCCTTGGGCTCTATAGAGAGTGATTGCTTGAAGTGGGCTATAAATAGAGCTAAGGATTTTATTGAACCACTGTCCTCAGGTCTTGATGGCAGTCACTGTAGGGCCAATGGCCGGAGTGAGATAATTGTGAGCAACATGGCTTCCATCCAGGCTGGGAGGAAGGATGGAACAGAGCAGTCGACACTTTGCTAGAGTGCCAGTGTGCATAACAGGCTTCGCAGTTACCCTGGTGTCCTGGTGGACTCTCGGTGGGGGCTGGAGAAGTCGATTAGTGGAGGGGAAAGGCTGGAGACGGAATGCTCAGCTCACTGCTGAGTTAATTCGGTAGCACGTGCATCTGGGCACTCACGCTGCTGTTCCTACAGTTAGTTATGCATTATTTAGAAGTTAGGTTGTGGGAGACACAGAGGAGGGAGGCTGATGAGGAGCAGGAAAGGAATTAACAATGTGGCTCCATCTGTGTTGTAGAAATACACAGGGCTGGGAGGCTTAAGGAAGGAATGCTGCCTCCGTTAATTCTCATAATAACCCTAGGAGGCAGCTCCTATTATCCCTTTCAGCGGTGGTGAGAATAATTAGCCTGCACACTGTTAACTAGTGATTAGTAGAATTTAAATTACAGCCAAGTCCTTTATGACCCAGAGTCCCCATAGCCTGGGCAAATCAGTTAACTTGTAACTTTCTCAGAGAGTGAAGTTTGGTTTTTATACTGTGAGAAGGCAGAAACTGCAACTTGACAAGCAAATTTCTTCACTGTGTTTACAAGGCAAGTCAACTTATATAGAATGCAGAGATTTTAAGGAAAATATATTTTGATTTTTTTCAGCAATGAACTAGTTGTAAGATGCAGAAAAAAAATGATTTTTAGGTTTACTAAAGTTTTAGTTATCTGTATTTGTCCATGTTTATATGCAGGTATGCACACACTGAGTGCGGTTCCTGAGGAAGCCATAAGAGGGTGCCAGATCTCTTGCAGTGGAATGTGCACACTGAGTGTGGGTTCCCACAGAGGCTGTAAGAGGGAGCAGCTGAAGTTACAGGTGGTTTTGAATTGTCCAACATGAGTGCTGGGAAACAAACTCAGGTTCTCTGCAAGAACAATACCTCTCCTAATCGCCAAGCCAGCTCTTTACCCATCATCCTGGGAGTAAGGTTTTTTTTTTTTTCCCATCTTTCTTTATTAAGATATTTTCTACTCACTCTACATACCACGCACAGATCCTCCCTCCTTCCACCCCCCAGCCCTCTCTCCCAAGCCACCCCACATTCCCACATCTCCCAAATCAAGGTTTCCCATGGGCAGTCAGCAAAGCCTGGCACACTGAGCCTAGGCAGGTCCAAGTCCCTTCCCACTGCACCAAGGCTACTGCTGCGCAAGGCTTCACACCACAGGCACCGGATTCCCAAAAGCCTGCCCATGTACCAAGGATGGATCTTGATCCCCCTGCCTGTGTGTCCCCCAAACATATCGAGCTAAACAACCATCTTCTGTATCCAGAGGGCCTAGTCCAGTCCCATGGGGGCTCCACAGCCACTAGCCTACAGTTCATGGGCTTCCACTAGTGTGGTCGGCCATCTCTTCACGTCTTCCCATCATGACATCCCCTGTCTACAGTATCCCTCCTCTCTCTCTGGATTGGATTCCCAGAGCTCAGCCTGGTGCCTGGCCATGGATTTCTGCATCTGCCTCCATCAGTCACTGGACGAAGGCTCTATGATGAGAATAAGTTTTGATATTATGTGCCAATATTCTTTTTGTTGGTTAAGTGGGATCCTGTCTGTCTTCAAATTAAAGAAACAAGTTCAGACATTGTCTCTATAATAAAACACTCCTTTCCCTTCAAAATACAACGGATGCATTATTTTGTTTGATTGTGTTTTAATTATGAGACTTTGAAGATTGCCCTAAAATGAAACAAGGCAATCTCTTCTTAAGATGGATATTTATTTATTTATTTATTTATTTATTTATTTTGCAAAGTGTGGCGTTGAGTTGAGTAGTATTAGAAGAATGAGATTTTCAGCATCTTGGGTTGAGGATGTTAATGAAACATCAAGTTTGTTCCATGAAGTTCACTGAAAAGCTGCTGTGGCAAGGTTCTGAATTGCAGCTCTCAATTCAGTGGGGTGTTCATGCTGCGGCTCAGGGCTAAGCCCAGCTAAGACACGCCTCTGTTGTGTCTCCTTCCGGGCAGCCCAGTTTCTCTCAGCTTCCCATGCTGCAAAGATTGTTTCTACCTTTCATCCTGTTTCACACACGTGGCAACTTTGAGTTTGCCTGGTGATACAGTGTCTCTGACTTATAAATCCCAGTCTTCAGAGCACGCCACCCAAAAGCTTTCAGGAGACCAGGCTTCTTGGTCCTCCCTAACCTAACCCAGAAGGCTGTACATTTGAACACCTTGCAACAGCAGTCAATATGTTGTTTCAGGTACTGCCACTACAGGTAGGAGCCATCCTTATTCTCCTTGGCCATTGGCTAAGGCAGCAATAATACAAAATGATGCAAATAAATGGCAAAGAAATCAATTATAGAGGAAAAACCAACGTGTAGACTTTCATTTAAGTTTTTTTTTTTTCAAGTTAAGTTCTGAATTATGGAGCAACACAATGCCAGATGCTGGGTACCTGTCTGCATTGCCAGCCTTGGAAGGCAGAAGCAGGGGGATCAGGCATTAAAGGGCTTTCTTGGCTACCTTGCGAGTTTGAAGACAGGCTGGCTATAGAGGAACCTGTCTCAAAAAACAAAACCAAGCCAACAAAACAACAACAAAACCAGTGGCATCTTAAATATCCAGTTACTGCATCAGTGAAGAATCTTCCCTTTCCTGGGGTGTTGGGCATTGCTACTGAACTTAAAATATTTACTTTATTGCTTACTCTGGAGATAGTAGATTTCCCTAAAGAGCTGGAATTTTATAAGTTAATGTGCTGTGAAACCTGTCATGATATATACAACACACGTCAAATGGGAAAAAAAACATTTTCTTATGTCTAAAATCATTTTTCTCCAATAAAGATACAAACAGAATTATTTTAAAAAATAGCAAATGATTCCAATGATCATTTAAATAAAATCCACTGATACAAGTTAATTGTTGCTTAGTTCAGAAAATTAAAAATGAACATAGAGTATAGTACACTGTCTTCAAAACATTATACTGCCCCATTCAGTACTTAGAACATATTTGAAATATTTATAAAAACATAGCTTTATAGTATAATCATCCCATCACTTCCACCATACACACATGGAATATGTCACAGCAGGTCATTCTCTGCAGGAATCAGGAGCCTGCACCAGGTGATTATAGGCCAGATGCTTTTCCAACTACATGCTGTATTCAGGGCTCTATAAGGAAGCTGATGTGCATGGGGACATAAACTCCTGTTCTTCAGCAAGTGGAACCATGAGGGTAAATCTAAAGCATAGACCTCATGGCACCTAGTTCTCAATATACATCCAGATGCCAGGATGTAATCAGGACTGAAGTTACAGGACTATTGTAGGGTTTTCAAAGACACATTTTTTTTTTACATTGTAAATTGTAATGTATGTGTAGTATGTGTATTATTGTATGTATTGCATATTACGTGATATAATAATGAATCACTAAAATATATTAAAATAGTGGACACAATATGATTGGAATTTTGTAGTCAATATTTAGCAGTATAGAAAAGAATCTGAAATGTTTTACTATGTTAATAGCATTTATCTCTAAGTAATGAGACAAGAGAAATTTTATTTTCCATTTGATGTTTGTTTTGAAAATGTTCTGCATTAGCTTCAACATAGTAAAATACACACAGAGAGAGAAGAAAGAGAACAGCAAGTGTAGGTAATGATGTGGGGATTAGTTTTTATCTTTATCTTTTGGCAAAGCAACTTTGTCATGCTTATAATCTCTGCAAGTGGAAAAGGTCAGTAAGACATAACTACCATGAACTGTAACACTTGTATCAAATTATCCATGAGTATCATTAACAAAATTCTGAACACTGAAGAATCATAAGAAAAATACAAAGCAGACTGATGATTTTGGTTTTTGGTTTTTTGAGATAGGGTTTCTCCATGGAGCCCTGACTGTCTTGGAACTTGCTCTGTAGAGCAGGCTGGCTTTGAACTCAACAGAGATTCGTCTGCCTCTGCTTCCTGAGTGCTGGGATTAAAGGCATGCACCACCACCTCACAGGTGATTTTTTTAGTATATGCAAAATAATACAGGAAAATGCAAGCATGTGTACATCTGTATGCATTTGTGTACAGATTCCAATATGGAGAGACAATTGTCAACAGTGTGGTGTGCATTTATAAAAACACAGTCACAGTTTTGAGGGCATTGCCTATCACTAGACGAGGAATAGTGAATTATCAGTGTAAATATGACCCAAAACAAATCTACCATCATCTAAGAGGTCCTGCTGTTCTAGCACATTCGAGTGACCTCAATAATGGCAACACAAATTAGCTAGCGGAGAGCAGGCCTGTGGGGGACACGGCATGTATGGAGAGCAGAGGTGAGGAAGGTGGCCTGTGTGGAGAGCAGAGGTGAGGAAGGTGGCCTGTGTGGAGAGCAGAGGTGAGGAAGGCGGCCTGTGTGGAGAGCAGGCCCGTGGGGAGGCGGCCTGTGTGGAGAGCAGGCCCGTGGGGAGGCGGCCTGTGTGGAGAGCAGGCCCGTGGG